TGAGGCACTTCTGCCTCTCATTCTACATAGCTAGTATATGAAAAGATTTTATTGAGTTGCATTGAAAATTGCCCTAAAAAACTGCCTTAATGTGAAATGATATAATGAAAGGTTGTTAACATTCAGCCCTGCAGATTGCTAAATTAGAAGTAGGTTAGATGTAGGTTACAAATGAGATGCACTTTTAGTGATGAAGGGGAAAAATACATATACGGAACGGTGCAACTGGTGTTTTATACAATCTTTTAATCATACTGTAAAACTTTTTAATAGCTTTTCCTTAATAAGTGTGCTGTCAGGATGAATTCATTGCATCTCCAAGGTCTTTGTTCAGTAGATCAGATGGTCATGGATAAATCCTTGAGTTTCTCAACAAATGTAATTTTACAAAGCATTTTTCTTGAAAGATGACTTGTGTTTTCTCTTTATTTGCTCTTTAAAAAGAGAAAAATATTTTTATGTAGATTATGAGATCTCAACATCCTTTTTAGCCTGCCAGATAATATAGGAAAGGAGACTTCCAGGTGGTTGGATCCAGCCTCAAAGACAACATCCTTTAATACCAGCCACACAAAGGCTAAAAACTGAATATGCATCTGTAGTCCTACATTATTTTGGTACTGTGGCTAAATAGGAAAATTGCATTATATGTTGAGTCTGTGCTATTCCTCATCTAGTTGGAAGGATTGTTGTCCAGTGACATGTGCTGCTTGTCTTCTTGGAGGCAGACTGTGGTCTGTGGTTCCTCGTGTGCTGCGAGCCTTTACTCTTCCCTGGAAAGAGAGATTGGTTTGTGAATTGAATATCTGAATTAATTTCAAGGGAATGCTGCTTAGGCTAGAGTCAGCCAGCTCCTGCTACAGGAAAACAGGATTCAATTTCTTGTGGTCTGCTGCTTACCACAGCTCTGGAAAGAGATCAGTGCTGCAGATGGGGCAGAGTCTGAGCCTCTGGAGTTGTCCACAGAGCCATATTCTCATTTTACCTTGAGGCAGGAATAGGAAGCTCACAGAACATTCCTGTTTTTGATGATTAGATGTTAATCTTGGAAGGAAGATTTAAAGTTGCAGCTCCATTTTAAAGAAGACATTTGTTGAAACTCTGCAGTGTAAAATGCGTAGTTTTATAAAAGCAAATACAGGGGTAGAGAGATCCAGTCCTCAGGGCGCCCATAAATCAGAAAAATCTCTTGGTGCTGGGATCCACAAAGCCTATTTGAGGACTGTAGTGCCCAAAACCATCTCAGTGCATACAGAAGCAATAATAGTATTATTTCTTGAAAATTCTGTCCTTTCTTCTCCTTCATGAATTCATGTACATAACTGGTTTACTTGGCAAGTTTTCTTTGGCTGAGGAACTTTCTTATTTTGTAGCACTTCTAATGTCATTTCAGCTGGTTCCTGGTCTCTAATATTACAGAAACCTTGCTTGGAAAGGAGCTCTTGAGGCCATCTGCTCCATCCTCCCAATATCTACACGGGATAAAACCAGTTTTCTCTGAGAACTGATTAGCCTTTACAAAGTATGTAAAAGTTTGGTTGTGATAAAGAATATGATGTGAAAGTAATTTTTCTTTCTGCCTGTTCAAACTGGCAGTTTGCTCCCTGCCAAGTAGCACAGGGAGACACTTAAGAATATGAATGTAGAACACGAGTGATCCCTTGAAAGGATCAGTAGGAGCAGCAGCACTTGAAATATGATTCATTTTAGATTTCACTTTGAAGAACTACTTTGGAGCAGATAAAAAAGTAAGATTGGTTCATGTTGTACAGCTGCTGTAAATGTGGTTTGTCTGACAGCACTCCAAGCACTCAAACTGAGTTGTAGGAGAAAAGTCAGTCCAGGCCTCCCTGATGTGAGGGAGTCCTTCCCAACAGGACAGCTCTCCAGAATGCTCTCAAGCCTCTCAGTCCCAAACCAGATTAAAACCCGAACTTTGGGTTTTTTCCTCTTCAAATCTCAGCACTGGTTGAGTTTCTCCTCTCCAGAGATTGAAATGCTGTAGTGTGCTTCAAAAAGGGGGAAGTTTTGCACAGCAGAGAAGGCAAGTTTGTAAATGCAACCTGAAATGAGTAGCTACCTGTGTACTCTCGGTTTACCTCACTGTGAAGGAAGTTTTTAAAGTAGGGCCAGAATCCACTCATCATTTTTCAGTCTTAGATGTTAAATGAAAAAGCACATTTGAGAATAAAGCTAGGAAGTTTCAAGCCAGAAGAGATGAGAGAAAGCTGGAGAGAAGGAGCAAACTCAATGATAAGAAAGTTCCTAAAGTGACTCCACACTAACACCTGAAGGTAATGAGCTTTTCACTTACTGCTGTGGTGTCTGGATACACAAAGGAGTGGAATTGTTACTGTTATCTTTGGAACCATGAAATATGTATTTAATTTGTGCTGTTATGAATTGACATTTCTGTAGTGGTGGTGTTTGCTAAAATTAAAATACAGAATCAGTCTATACAGGACTTTGTGTTTAATTTAAATAATTGAGAAATACCATACAAGTAACCTGCTAAGTGCACATACGCAGTTTTGAGTATACTAATACAACCTTCAGGCTTCAATTTCTTCTGTCCAGCTTGTTTTTAGATCTAATGTATGTCAGCTAATGGTAGACAACAGTCTCTTGCACTGTATTGTAATAGAGAAGGTGCATTTGCAGGAAGCTGTTCAGTAAAGTTGTCCCAGGGGTGCAGCATCTCTTCAGTTAATGCACTTGTGGGACTAATTTGCAGTGGAACATGGAAGTAAGAAATCTTCACAGTGTTTGACTTAAATATAGCAGCAGTGCTGATGGTGTCAGTGCCCCATTTGGGAAGGTCCTGGTGCAGTAACAGGATCTGTGTGAGCCCTGGCAGGGAGAGATCACAGTGGAAACAGCGGCTCAGGTGTTAGGGACAAACGCTGGAATATGAGCAGGTCTTTTCTTGAAGTTAAAAATCTGTGTGTGTCTTAGCTGCAGAGCTTTTCCCTGTTTAAATTCTGAGATGTGATTGTTTTCTGCCTTTGTGTATATAATAACATATTTTTCTGGGGTTATGTTTGCTGTTATTTTCCTGACATCTGTTGTGTAGGCACATTTAACCACATAGTCTGCTTCAAAAGTAATAAATGCTGAGATAAAACATTCCCAATACACAAAAATTAAAAGATTTTACTGCACTTCTAAGTGTTGGTAGTAACTTAAATATTTCTATAGCTGTTAATTATAAATGGAATTTAGACATAAGCTTCTATCACTGTAGAAAAATTAAAATCTAAACCGGTATTTTCTAATCCAGTTTTAGATGATTTACTCATGTGGCTGCAGTTGTATTGTGTAGCCTAGTGACAAGCAGGAGATTTTTTGTGATTTCATAAAACAAGAGCATGGAAACAATTAAACATATACAAACAAAAAATGATGCAACATTTATCTTCATGTAACTTTCCACATTAATTGTCATTGCATATCTCTGATGGAAGAAAGCTCCATTCCATATGTGCTGATTTGGATTCTGTGCAGGGGCTGTTGGGTTTTTTGCTTCCTGCAGTTCCTGTGTCTCCTTGGCTGCATCTCCCGTCTCAAGGCATTTCTGACATGTAAGATGGTTTTGTTCCAGACATCATGATAAGCATCTTTTAAATGTACCTTACTATCTTTTTATATTGTGTTAATATTTTATATTGTGTTTTAATATTGTGTTCTACCAGACTAAGGCATTCCGTGTTTTCTCTGGGGCTTTTTGTGGTGTCTTGTTGCCACTTTGATTTTGTGCTTTAAGCACGTTTCAACTTTGTGTTGCTGTTTCATCATCTCAGAGTAGTGCAGTTAATTTTTGAAATTTTTTGTGGGCTGCCTTTAAATTTTAGGTGTAATTCTCTTTGATATTCAAGTTTCATCATGTTTTCCAGCCTCAGACATGAATTGTAACAATCTGTTGGTGAGAGCAGGGCTAATACATTTATTAAGCCTCGTTATTTCTTCTAATAGGTAGCACAGCAGTGACCATCTGCCCCAATAATCTCTGCATCTGTTTCAGCTGCTACACCTGTGGTTAAAGTTCAGTTTCCATGTGGATTTTGTACCCAGTGTGACAATTTATTACTCAACTTTACTGTTTCCTTTAAACAAATAACTGTGCAGACCTTTTTCTTAGGTTCAGTTTTTTTCTCATTTGTTTTACTGGTTCCCCTTTCTCATCCCTGCCCTTCCCACCCCTCCTTGTATTTATTTCAGTTTTCATTAAACCTGTGATGTGTGTCTCCAGTCCATGTCCTTACAGACTTGAGTAGTTCTTTCTAGTTCTTTGTGGGTTCTAGTTGCTGTTCTGAGCTCTGAAGGGCACTGAGATGACAAGAGAAAAGCAGGCAGGAACAATATAATGACTTACAGTTTAATAAAATGTATATTTTTTTTTTGAGTGTATAATTTTTAATATGTTCTATTTAGACCCTGAGACAGTGGTCATTGCAGCTCAAGACAGCCTTAGCATTTACTATTAAAATGTTCAGCAACTGTGTCTAATGTGCCTCGGTGACAAAAACCAGTGTCCTTTCTTTTAATATTATTTCTTGTGTTCTATTGCTTGCCCGCTTGCAAGCTTGGCTACTTCTTCTCTAAAGATTGAAGAATAAAGAAAACATTCTGTAGAGTCCTCTTCATTTGCAGACTATCCCTGACACTTTGAGCTCTGAAATTCTGTAAGTGATGATGGTGAATTTTGTATGTAACACTTCATTTGTGTGTAGTGACCTGTATTCTGCTGCAGTAATTACACTCATTGCCTTCACTATAATCTTTGTCCTTCAGTTAGGTGAGCAAAGCATAATCCTGTTAATGAACACGGTAAGACAAGGCCAATGCTTTTGATTTGCATGTGGCATCCCTGGCAGCCAGCAAATTGCTTCAGATAATGTGCTTTATTAAACAAGTATGGCCTTGCAGAAAAATTATGAGGGCAATGCAATTTTAGAGCTATTTTTTATTCTGTTTCTAAATGTATTTCTTTATTGTTACAGATATTTCAAGACTTCCCTTGCCAGCAGGTAAGTTCTCTTTTTTCAGTTATGTCTTGATGTGACAGCAGGCAGCTTTTAAAGGCTTGCTTATGGTACAGTCATGCTTTTATATAATCAGAATATTGGTTCTTACTGGCACTGTCATGGTGCTTAGTCATGTGGGAATCTGAGGTCAAAACAAAACCTGTTGAGGTACAGATTTTTTTCCATTTCAATGGTATATTTTGACAAGGGGAGGAGGTAACTGAGGTGTATTTATAGGCAGTTGTTTGTATGAGATAGTTAATGCTTCAAGTGACTCAGCACAACATGGGATGCAGCTGGCAGGGGAGCAGATTAGAGCAGCCACAGATGGTGCTAGTGGAGGTTCAGAGGGACAAAGTGCAAGGAAATGGGGTTGGGGGATTTATGAGTGGAAGGAATGTCCCTGGTTAGGATAGGGAAGGTGACACAGGTGACTTGTGTCCGAGCTGCTCTATTGGACTCTTCTGTCAGTGATGTCTAAAAATATGAAAAAAACCCAAAAACAACTTTAAACATAAAGAAAGACAACAAAACCCCCCAACACATGGACCCACCAAAAAAACCCAAAACAAAACCCAACCCCACTGACGTGATTTTGTAAAATAGCATTTTTTATTTGTTCTTTATTACATTTGGTCTTTAACAAACTTTTAAAATTCATGCATTCATTTGTGCTGTGGGCTTGAGTTGTGATGCAGAGCTCAGAGTGGGGATGTTTCCTGTTCCCTGTCAGATAGAATTTGTCTATCTATTCCCTGTGTGCAGTGTGAATTCTGGAATCCTGACTGAAGTGCACTTTTACTCCTAATTGATCAAGGAATTGGATATTTGCTATTAGGCCTGCTGCCTTTTATCCTTGCCCTATGCCTTGGTGATTTTGCTTATATATCCATTCTTTCATTTCTTCTTGCTGATATTAATAGCTGATCTGAAGGAAGCTGTTCTTTACTGTTGGAATCAAATGGCAATTTCAGTTAAAAGCTTGATAGCTGATGTGTTGTAGTCTTTTCCATGAGAACTTCAGAGCAGCTCTTCAGAAAAAAAAAAAATCATGTTTTCTTGAAGCAGTGAAGAGAAGTTTAAATGTGGAAGTTTTCTTTTCAGGATGACATCTTTAAAATGATTTTGAATGCTGAGAGTGGTTGTCAAGCAGGCACTTCTGGCAAATACTGGAAAAATAAATACCTGGTGTTTAGGTCAGGCTGACAGGAAGATAAGGATTGTTATTGTTTTTTTTTCTGCAGCTTCTAGGACAAGAATGTGTGATGAAACTTTTTCTGAGTTTATATTTGGGACTTGAAGAGTTTGGCTGGTGTGAATCTGAGTCACAGTGAGATTATTCGTTTCAATTCGAGTCTCTGTGTGGGAGTGTCCTAACTGTACTCCTTAACTGTGTCTTGCAAGTACTGATAGAGGGCAGGAGTTTTCCCAGGATTTTGAAAGGGTGAGCTTTTCCCATGGCATGGCAAGAGGCCTTTTTAGAGGATATAAAAAGTACCATGGCTTACCTGTAGCAGAGATTTGGCAGTACCTCCTGGTAAGGAAAAAACAGGGAAACTTGTTTTTAAAAAATGCTGAAAATATTGCCAGAAGAGAAGGCTGGAGTCTCACAGAGATCTGAATTGTCCTATGGTATTAAAGTATTTTTATTAATGACCATGAAAATGGACTTGATTTGTCTTTATCTGCCAGTAACACCAACACAAAAAGAGTTATGAGCACACTGGGTGATGTGATTAAAACTGAAAAGAAATTTGATGAATAGGAAAAGGAGCCTGGATAAAAGATATAATATAATTGAATAAAGAAGAGGTTCTGCATTCAGATGGGAAGTTTTAATCATCAGAACTCATCTTTGCAATAAATAATGGTATTTTCTTATTTCGAGTTTTAAAGAACTTTTTTCTCCTGAGTGCCACTTTCAGCAGTGGACAATAGATGTCACTAGAAATGTTCTCACTTTTGCCACCTGGTTTCAGTGCTCTAAATTTTCATCATCATAGGGTATGGAGGGGCTTTTGCAATATTTGAAGACTTTGCAGTAAGGAGACCACTTCCAGTGGTGTCTTTATTGTGGTGTCTTGTTTGAGGTCGGATTATCAATAAATTTGGTATAGTCAGTGGTATATCAAGGTCATCCAGAACTCATTTCATAGCAAAACCTTGTAAAGAAGGATTGTTTCTGTGCTGGAGAACGCATTAGTTGATGAGGTCGTTAGTTAAATCATTACTCAGGAGAGTTATCCTGAATTAATCTATATCACTGCTTTGAAGTTCATGGGTAACTTGGGTTTTTACTGCCTTGAAATTGAGGCCATGGAGATGAGCATAGAGAATCTTTGAAATGTGAACTAGGAGGGGCTTGGAGAACAATTTGCTAAAATATTATAATTTTGAAGGTGGATAGAGAACACAGTTCTGCTGTCTGTAAGTGAAGTTCTCTTCCAACACAAGTGTGTTCACAGCAAGCCTGGGGGCATGGAAGACTGGTTTCCTCTGGTAAATGCAGTTAAACTTTCTCTGTTGACACTGTTGGGATTAAAAACAATCCCTTCTGGCTTTTGTCTTGCTCTGAATTTAAAACAGCTCTAGCATCTGTGTGATGTAGGTGACTTTTCCTAAGAGCTGGGCCTTTGTTCCTGATTTGCAGTGCAAATAGGTCTTCATTACCAGAATCAAGAAATAATAAGGAAGCAAGAAACTGTATCAAAGAACTAGAGGAAAATAAAGACAAATATAAGAAACAAGCATTTTCTGGATTTTTGGTTAAAAATTCAATAAAACATTATGCCAAGATTGAATCTCAGCTAGTTGTTTTTTCTTGATGACTCCTCCAGATAATATCAAATAAAGTCAAATAAAATCTTGCTGACTCCTAACATACAGTATAGAAAAATTATTAGGAAATACACATATTTTGCCTAGTTCTAATTTCAGATATGCAGCATATTTTCAGCCTGATGATTTTGTGTTCACTTTTTGCTGTACAATGTACGATTCAGGTAAGCACTATTTGCACACTGTCATTGTTATCTTGAAATATTTAATGGTTCTGTAACTATTTTTACTTCCAAGTCCTCATTTAGGACAAAAAAAAAAAAAGTTACACAATTTCAGCTCAACCTAAAGATGTTTCTGAATTAAAGGCATGTCCTCATTCAGTCTGTTGGTGTGTTTGGCCTTGCTGCTTACACAGAGCCTGCTCATGATCCACTTAATGAAATCACATTTATCTCCTGGCACTTTTCACAGCCTTGGAACAACCTCCTGCTTCCCTTCCTCTGACCCAGTGGGCAGGAGATGGGATGTTTAATGCTGTGCTGTGTAATAATATTCCTTACCCTAAACCTACACTTGCCTGTGTGGTGGATTTAGATACAGCAACCAGAATTTCAAAAGCCCCAAAGGGTTGGGTCCTTCCTACAATGTTAAAAGATGGAAAATTAAAAATCAGTTGAGGTATTACCAGAGTTGCAGTAGGCAAGAATTGACAGAATTGAGGTTGTGCAGAATTCCTAAAATAAATGTTCACATGTATTACAGAGGGTAATAAATTATGCAACGATTCTTCATGCAGCTGAGAATAAACTCAGTAGCCTGAGCAGAGAACTGTTGTTAATATCCCTGCTTAAAGGAGGGGAAAAGGTAACCAACTGTGTGGGCAGAAGCAAAAAAAGTACAAAATGGTGGCTTTTTGATTTGTCATTACAATTTTAAGTAAGAATTAAATACAAGCTGCACTAAGACTGAACAGTTCCTCTCATTTTAGAATGCCTAGCATGGTGCTGAAGGGATTGCACAAGGAAACCTGTACTTCTCTAAAAGCTTTCAGTAATCCCTTCGAAAATTAGGATTTTTTTTTCTAAGAATCTCTACAAATGTTACTAAGAATTCTGATTTTTAAGCAACAATAAACTTAGTTTTCATGTATTTGTAATGGCTTGGGTTGTAATGATTTTATTTGTGTGATGAGTATGGAACTGAAAACAGTTTATGAAATATTGGTGCTGTCAAGTTAGAATTGCTGCCTGCATGTCCTGTACAGCTCTGAAAATGTGAGAGGACTTTTCTTTTGATGCAGATCTAGCCTGTAGCTTAAATTCTTTTCACTACCAGCAAGGCAGGTGTTATTTGTAGATTTCCAAATTCCCTATCACGAAACTGCTGTTATTGCTGGATGAGGTTCTTGCTGACAAAGCTTAAATCTCACTTAGAAGAAGTTTCTCTTGTTATCTGTTCATTAAATCTTCCTATTTTAGAATTTTGTGGAGTAGTTTTAATAGGTTAATCATCTATACCTCATAAAATCATTTTCCCATTGTTGTACACTGCAGATATTTGGAAAAACAGTTTATTTATCCTTTGTAAACTGTCACTGTTGAATATCTCATTTTTTGTGTTGAGGCCTTGGGGAGGTGACAGCTTAGACCTTGACAGGAAATCTGTGTATTTGCCAACCTTTCCAGTGAAACTTTCTTAGCTTATTTTGGCTGTGCTTTTGACACTACCCTCTTCCCTGCATTCCCATCCATATTTTATATGTATTTTATCTTTTATATATAATTGCCCACACAAGGCAAGAGCAACAGCATGATTTGGTAAGAAAAAAGTTTTTATTAGTGAGGCTCACCTGTGTAGTAATATTGAGGTGATGAGATACATTAAACATCTCAGGAAACTGTAAGTTAGCTAAATTATAGTGTTTTTCTTTTAGAGATATGAGCCTGACAGTCCAGACAGTTTCCAGGCCATCTCTGTCCATTTATTCAGTCCATAACTTCATCAATTTGTTTGTTATGGTGTTGTCATGG